AGAAGTCGATGTGTGGTTTGCGTTGCACACGTATGCCCACCAGTTGTCCCAGCTGCCACCGTTGTGTAACTGTGATACCGTCCCGTGAAGCAATCCGCGTGGACTTTAGCCGTGGGGTAGGCGTGATGATGTAGTCGGGGCGATCCCAGATCCGAGCTTCAGGCGAGTAAGTCGTGTCGCCGTCTGAGGTAACCACATAGCTTGAGCGTGCCGCAACGTCCTGGCCTTCATGAAGGTCGACCTCAGGCCACATCCACGCTCTGGCGAGCATAGCACGGTGGGCGCGGTGATAGCTCCATATGCTGTGCACAGGCTCGCTCCCGTCATAGTCATCCTGCGACACGGAGCTCCACGGTGGTCGTGCCGCCGCCAAACGCTTGGCCTTCCAGCGTAGTGAACTTCGGCTGGCGATGGCGCGCAGAAGAGAAACGACACACATGACAAGTCCCGCCATCGACTGATGATCATGCTGTGCGGGGGCTTGCGACCTCGCAGACACGAGAAACGACGCCAGAATCGCTCGAGCCAGGGCCTTCTAAGCGCGCTTCCCGTCATCCGCCGGCAAAGTGTTCGGTGCGATCCATACCCGTCTAACTAAGCAGAACTACTACATCAGAATAAACAGTCCACGCGAGAGGCGCTCCCCGTCAACTCCCAGCCCCTTTGGGGCTCACGCGTTGCGAAGCGTAGTTGATTCCATTTCCCTGCATCAGCTCTGGTGCGAATGTTTCTACTGTTATCATGATAGAGATTATGTTGAAAATGTCGTAATGATTGAAACACGCGTGAGGACCCCCGCTGCCCAAACATCACATTACCACGATGGCTTCAAGTCCTCGGAATTGGGGGTACCCCAGGACACGTACAAATACCACTTATTCGCGCCGCCGAGACCAGAATCCCTCGCAAATTGTACAATTTTCGTGCTCCCGAGGCCACAACCCGTGGTGAATTACAACGGACTCGTGCTCCCAAAGCCAGAATCCCTTGGCAATGACAACGTGTTCGCGCTGCCGAGGCCACAACCCCTTCTTAATCATCCGTCACCGTGCCGCTGGGCACGGAGTGGGCGCGTCCTCAGGTCCTTCGCCCAACCCCCTGAGCCTCAGTCCTCGATCCTAAGGGTTTGAGGGGCCAGGAGCCCAACTTGCCAAATCTATCGGGGCTCCCGGCGTGCCCCCTGGGCTCCGGCGCATCTTGTCGCATGACTTTTCGGAGCCCAAGAGGCCCCCAGGACCGATCAAGAGAGCCCCAAGAGGCCCCCAAGATGGTCCAAGTAGGACCCGAGACGCCCAAGATGGCCCCAGGACCGTCCAAAAGGCCTCCAAGACGCCCAAAGATGCCTCCCAATCCTCAAGAGGCCAAAATCGTTGCTTTTCCTTCGGTTGTTGAAGGTTTTTGGCGTGCTCGCCTTTTCGGCTTCCCAACGCTTCCAGAAGGCCCTGGAGGCCGCCAAGAGCGCCCCAAGACGGCATAAGAAGCCCCAAAACGACCCAAAAGGAGCCCAAAAGGCGCCCAAGACGGCCCAAGAGGCCCCAAAAACGGCTCGAAAAGGGGGCCCAGATGGGGAACCGGAGCATACATTTCGAGCCCTCGGCTCCGAGGGGCCCCCAGGTGGTCCCAAGAGGCCCCCAAGAGGCCCCAAAGAAGCCCCAAGAGGCCCCCAAGAGGCCCCCAAGAGGCCCCCAAGAGGCCCCCAGGAGGATCCCAAGAGGCTCCAAAACTGCCCCCAGAGAGGCCCCCGAGAGCGCTCCAAAAAAACCAAAGAAGCATCCCTGAAAACTCTGACCCACAACCCTGGCACGGCGGCGGGATGGGCCACAGGCCACTAGATCCGCCGCCCCCTATCGATTCATCGCAGGGGTGCCTGGCGTGCCAAACTATTTCGGTTTTGGTTTGGGCACTTTTTCCAAAAGAACCAACTCCCCCTGGGGCTTCGGCCCGTCCCGCCGGCCGGCCACCCGAAAGGCCCCCAATTGTCCAATTCGTTCGCTCAAGACGGCCCAAGATGGTCTCCAAGATGGCCACGTTGGCATAAGATGGCCTCCAAGATGGTCCAAGATGGCCTCCAAGTCCGCCCAAGATGGTCCAAGACGGCCTCCCATACGGGCCAAGAGAGTCCAAGACGGCCGAAGACGGCCCAAGAGGCCCCCCAGAGGCCTCCAAGACGGCCTAAGAGGCCTCCAAGAAGTCCTCCAGGAGGGCCCGAAGAGGCCAAAATCATTGATTTTCTATTAGTGTTTAAATGATTTTGACATATGCTTCTTTTCAGCCTTCCCGCTGTCCAAGACGGCCCAAGAGGCCCCCAAGATCGCCCCCAGAGCACCCACGAGGCCTCCAAGATGGCCCCATGACGGCCCAAGAGGCCCCCAAGATGGCCCCAAGAGGGCCCCAAGACGGGCCAAGAGGCCTCCAAGACGCGCAAGATGGCCTCCAAGACGGCCCCGAAGCGCCCCAAGAGGACCCCAAGACGGTTCAGAGAGGCCCCCAAGACGGCTCCCGACGGCGTCAGACGGGCCAGGAACCCACCAAGATGGCCGAAGTTGGCTCGAAGCTGGCCCAAGACGGCCCAAGAGGCCTCCAAAAGGACCTCCAGGAAGGCCAGAAAAGGTAAAGCAACACTGATTGTCCTAAGGTTTTTGACGGATTGTGACATTTGCCTCTTTTCAGCCTTCCGACGGCCCGAGACGGCCCAAGAGCCCCCAAAGATCGCCCAAAGATCGCCCAAAGATGGCCCCAGAACGGGCCAAGAGGCCCCCAAGACGGCCTCAAGAGGCCTCCAGGACGGCCCAGGAGGCCTAGAAGACGCCCAAGATGGCCTCCAAGACGGCCCTGGAGCATTCCAAGAGGACCCCAAGTCGGCCCAGAGAGGCCCATGGCTTCCGACGGCGTCGGACGGGCCAGGAGCCCACCAAGACGGCCGAAGATGGCCCTAAGATGGCCGAAGAGGCCTCCAAGAGGGCCTCCAGGAAAGCCCGAAAGGCCAAAATCATTGATTTCCCATGGAGTTTTTGAAGGATTGTTGCATTTGCTTTTTTGCGGCCTTCCGACGGCCCGAGACGGCCATAGTACCCCCAAAGATCGCCCAAGAGGCCCAAGACGGCCCCAAGAGGTCCCCAAGACGGCCCAAGAGGCCTCCAGGACGCTCAAGATGGCCTCCAGGACGGCCCAAGAGCCCTCCAAGCCGTCTGAGACGGCCAAAATGACCTTCGAGATGCCCACGTGTTCCCCGAAGGCTTTCCAAACCGATTCGGGGAACACATGGTCCGATAGCTTGGAAGGTCTGGCCTCAACGTTCGGCCACATAGGCGCTCCCAAAAAGGCAGGGGGCGGCGGTGATTCGCCGTAGGCGTCTTCGATAACAGATTCGCACCCCCGAGGCCACAATCCCTCGTAAATGATAGCTGTCGCATCGCATCAACGATCGGTAGGCCGCGCCTCGAAAGATCCCTGGCGCCAGCCGGAAACTGCAAAATTCCGCGGGTTCGATTCGGGCGCCCCGAAGCGCATCCTGAAGGTGCCGCGAAAGCAGATGCTATCGGGCGCCAACGAGATGAGGTCTGGCCCTACCTGGCCGCATCGCGATGACATCTGACCAGGTGCGGTGTCGCGGCCGTTTCTGGGGCCCCCACGGGGCCCCCAGGGGCGCTGTTCAAGGAGCAATAATACAAAGTTCAATTGCAGAAGGTGGATGCGACGATTCTTGCGGTTACGAAGTTGTTTGCGGCGGCTGATTCGGGACGGCCTTGCGGAAGAAAACATAGTACCTGGGCAACCAGGACCCACCTCGGGAAACCACCTCGCGCTGTAGGATGCGCTGCGTGCACGCTACACTTGGTTGCTAAGCGGGCCCAAGTGCGCTCAGATGCACGAGCAACTCTGCGGAGCGCGCGCCGACGCAAGGCCGAACGCATCCCCCATACACACAGATATGTATATATATATATATACAAATATATTTACATCGAGAGAGAGAGAGACGGGAAAAAAATGGCCAAATGTGGGTCAGCACCCGAGGGTCATTCCAGCGAAGGGTCACTCTTATATGTAGCCGTCTATCGACGGCCAGACCGGACCGTTTTCAGAATGACTCGGCAGGAGCTCGGTCGAGGGCCACAGCTCTTCGGAGAACTAAGGGTCCGCAGCGTGGAGCATCAAAGAGCGTTGGGAGGAGGATGGGGAGGAGGAGGATGGGGAGGAGAAGGAGAAGGATGCAAACCCAAGACTCATCAGCAATGTTGGACCACATCCTCCCTCCAAGCTCCCGCTTCATAGTGCCCCGTTGGGAGACAACCATGTGAAAATCCTGAAGCGTGCCCAAATACCATTCTCAGGACTTCAACGCCACGAATCAACCTGACTGCTGCGTCTTGACGATCCTGAACCGTGCCAAAACACATTTCCTGGGACTTCAACACCGCGAATCAATGTAACTGTTGCGCCCTGACAATCCTGAATCGCTCCAAACTCAATTAACCATAACAATCCGTGAAACTCTTGCAAATGTTCGAAGCCAGTATGCGCGGCGCTAAGGCGAGATCCACATTTGGAAAAGGAACCGCCCTCAATACGTGAAACTATTGCATTTGTTCAAATCGAGCGTGCGAAGCGCTAAGGCGAGAGCCACATTAAAAAACGGCCCGCCCTCAATCCGTGAAGCTCGTGCAGTTCTTGTACACGAATTTGCGCGGCGTTAAGGCCAGAGCCACATGTTGAAAACCACACGCCCTCCATCTGTGAAACTGTTTCCAATATCTAAGCGTCAGCCTCATAAATGGTAAGGAAGTCTCGGCCAAACGCCCGGCCCGCCCTTCCGACTGGCCTCGGGGTGCGACAAGGAGGAGATATTCATAAGGATATGGAATGGAGGAGGGAGGAAGAGAGGAGGATCGGGAGGAAGAGGGGGCGGAGGGCGAAGCGAGGGAGGAAGGAGGAGTGGAGGAAGATGGGAGGGAAGGTAGGCAGGTTGACGGCGACGACGGCCCCAAGAGGCGCGCGACCAGCAGTCGGAAGCCCAACGGGCCCCTGCACGCCAGCTGCAGGAGCACCAGCGGCAAGGACAGGGCCACGCACGCGAGGACGGGGGGCAGGGCGGCCCAAGCTGCAGAACAGAGACGAGATTCCGCCTCCTGCTCTCTGTCGGCGGCCAGCGGAGGCTCTCCGAGGCGGGATGGCCACGGCGGACCGCGCCGGGAAGCGCACTGCGCCCAAGAGGCGCGAGGGGGGAGGGCCCGGAGACAACCAAGCGCCGCACCTTCCGCCTCCTGCCGCGCTCGCCCAAAGTACAGTCCCCTTCCCCTCCTCCTCCTGCTCCTCCCCTCCTTCCGCCCCCCTGCACCCAAGGAAACATCCTGATCATAAGGCGGAGGAGCCGCGGGAAATGCGCGATTCCGCTTCTCCAACAGCACCGTTTGGAGGCCCCTGGAGGCCTCGAGAAAAACATACCGACGCGCTTCCAGGATTACCGGCCGTAGTTTGCCCTGCGAGTGGGGGAGTGTTCGCCGAGGCTTGCACGCACGTCTGCAATAGGAGGAGGGGGAGGAGGAAGCGGAGGGAGGAGGAGCGAAGAGGAGGATGAGGGCCCAGGTGTGCGTTTCTTGATTAGGAGGGGGAGGAGGAGGGGACCAGAAACTCCTCCTCCTCCTCATCATCATCATCATCCTCCTTCTCTTCTTCTTCTTATTATTGATATTACTAGTATTAGTATATTATTAATATTAAGAGTATCATTTTTAGTATTACTAGTATTATTCTTCTTATCTTCGTGTAACTATTATTCTTAGTATTATTAGTATTATTCTTGTTCTTAGTATTATTATTCCTCTTAGTCTTATTATTATCAGTGTTATTATTATTAGTATTACTATTATTTTTATTATTACTATTATTATTATTATTATTAATATTATTATTCGTCTGATTATTCTTATTATTATTATTATGTTTCTTATTATTCGTCTTTTTCATCTCCCTCCACCTCCTCCTCCTCCTCTTCCTCCTCCTCCTCGGCGCAGCAGCATCATCATCATCATCATCATCATCATCAGCATCATCATCATCATCATCATCATCATCATCATCATCATCATCATCATCATCATCATCATCATCATCATCTCATCATCATCATCACCACCACCACCATCATCATCATCATCGTCATCATCATCATCATCATCATCATCATCATCATCATCATCATCATCATCACCATGATCATTGTTCCCTGTCTGCTGCCTGCTCCCTGCTCCTTGCTCTCTGCTCCTCCTCATGTGCGAAGCGTCCTGCAGTGGTTTGGCTTTTCTGCTGTTTGTTAAGATGTTGGGCCAGGGCTGGCCATTCATGGCATATTATCGGAAGCGTTCATCAATCAAGCGGCAGGCTGCTGGAGCATCTTCCTGTTATAATGGTGTTTTGCGCGCAGGCGTCATCCACTTCAGGGTAGTTGTTTTGCACAGTTGCACGGGCAATTTCCTTTTGTCCCTCATCATGACGCTAAGTGGCTTGGTAGCATATTCCAATACGTTTCATGGTTGCCGTTGATCACCTTTCCAATCAAACACTGGTAGGGTCCTTGCAGGTGTCTCCATGTACTGTGCCGCATTCTCCCATCACCGCGCGGTGGGTAAATTTTACTCTGTAAATTGCGGGCGGTGTTGACAAGAGGTCTTTTCGGGCGTGCACCACGCTGGTTGCTGGGTCTCTCGTCGGAATCTCAAATATGGGTTTCAGTGTGTACGCGTTCAAGGATTATCCGACCGTGGTATTAAGTGGTGTACGCATGCAGGCTTGCTGTCTGGGCTGAATTCGGCGGTACTATTGGGATAGTACTGCGGTTCACCTCGACAGACGGTGCACTTTGCTTTTCCTCCTTATTGTTGGTTCTCTCTCGAATCATCAACATGTACAGGTTGTCAACTTTCCGTACGGAAAGTGCTGAGGGACAGAAGTCTAGCTGTTTAACTAATCCGCCGATCCGGCGTGTGAGTTTCTGAGAGCGTGGACTTGAGCTCGCTCAAGCTTCGCTCTGCAAGGGGGGGGGGGACGCCATTCCCGACGCCATTCAGTGCTCGGGAGAAAGGGGGGGGGGTCGCTCTGCACGGAGGGAGGGGAACGCCATTCCCGACGCCATTCCCGACGCCATTCAGTGCTCGGGAGCGGGGCGGGCGATCTCGCCCTGCAAGGGGGCGGGCGGGGATGGGACGCCATCCCCGACGCCATTCAGTGCTTGGGAACGGGGGGGGGGTCGCTCTGCAAGGGGGGGGGGAAGGGGGAGCGGACGCCATTCCCGACGCCATTCAGTACTCGGGAACGGGCGGGCGATCTCGCCCTGCAGGGGGCGGAGGGAGGAGAGGGGGAACCCATTCCCGACGCCATTCTGTGTTCGGCAACGGGAAGAGGGTTTTTTCTGCAGGGGGGAGGGGGGAGGGGGTCCCAAAAGACCCCCAAGGAACTCAAGAACTCCAAGACGCCCCCCAAGAGGCCTCCAGATGCCTCCAAGACGCCCCCCAAAAAGGCAAACGACTGCTTCCAAAATGGTCCCTAACGCTTACGATTGAACAACCATGTGGCAAAACAACTGGATCTTCAATAATGTCACATATTCAGACGTCTTGGGGGTCCTCCAAGAGCGCCCCCCAAAGATGGCGTGCAACAGCTATTTCAGCATTTCATGGTTTTAATGGTGACTCACGCGAGAGCGTCATTCTCGAAGATCCCAAAGTTTCGCTACCGATTTCCACATGTTCATCTTTTGAGAATGTCTCGAACGAGGGCTGTATCTTCAGCATACACGGTCATCCATTCCCATCAGCATCGGGAGCGCCCCAGATCGGCGGCAATGGCCGGAGGCCACTACAATAACATAAAAAAATTCTGAAGATGAACTTTACAAACTGGTGGGTTGTGATTTGTCAGGTTCGTATCGTTCAGCGGCAGGAAAAAACATTGCTATCAGTGAGTGCTTCGGTTTTCACAACAGTGGCACGCAGTAGTCGCGAAGTTGTTCCTCCTGTTCAGGCGCTTCGTCTTCCTTGTCGTCTGGTGCATCTTCAAGGTCAGAGGGGGCGTCGCATGCTCGATATAGATATTGCTTCGCAATCGTTCCAAATCCGAATCCGAATCTCTCCTCATCCTTCTCCACTCGCCCCCTGGCCCACATCCGCTCAAAACGGTTCCGCAGGCCCCTCACAAAAACAATCCTGGCTATTCTTCGAGTTGCGCCCAGCCGTGGCGACGAGGAGGCCGAAAGGAGGGGAGGATAGGAGGGGGCAGGAGGAGGGGGAGGAGAAACAGGAGAGGGGGGGAGAGGGAGGATGACCACGACACGAAGAAATACTGAATCTCACCACGTGCACCCGTGACTTGGGCCGCCCTGGGAAGGTGCGCGTCCGCCCGAAAGAGTCGGCCATCCGTCCGAACACGGCCGACCCGACTACGCTGGAGAATACGCTGCCAGAAGATCCGCCGCCGCGCCTGCCTTGCGGCAGGAAGAAGATTGAGGCACGAGGAAGCTCGAACAATGTGTTCCTGACTTTCTGTTTCTAGGAATCCGCTTGGGGCACTGAAACGGACAGAAATCAATCCAACGTGGAAAGCTCCAGGATGGATTCTAGAAGGGGTTCTGGAACCGACCCTGGGCGGACTCTGGACAGGAGGAAATTGGAGGAGGCGGAGGTTCCAGGGCCAAAATGTTGCATGCGTTTCCAACATTGGGGATTTTTGGGAGGCTTCTCGTCGCCACACTGGGATCCCCTCCAAAATCTCGCCAGCCATCTGAGCGGACGTGGTATGACGAATTTGTTCCATCTTCAGAACCCCCACTTGCCCGTTCTGGAGAAAAACTGATCGCCATTCTTCTTACCAGATACACCCCCTCCCCCACCCCACCGGCGACAAACCCGGGGCCATGCGGGCACACCCCCGCCACCCGTGGAAAAAACAATGCCAAGCGCGCTTTGCACCAAAACCTTGATCATTCGCGGACGGCCCGCGATCACTTTGCATTGGCTTTTGACAGAGACGATTGGGAGGCTGGCAGATTGCCTGCTAGCGCGCAGTGGCAACACCCCGCCATCATCCCTTGCAAAACAAAATACAAAGTGCATCTTGCACCAACATGTGGATCATGCGCGGACGCCCAGCGATTACTTTTCATTGGTTTTGGCAGGGACGGCAGGGGGGCCGCATAATACCTGCTGTGCGCAATGCCAATACGCCCAACCAGCCGCCAGAAAAGACAACGCAAAATGCACCTTGCATCAAAATCTGGATCATGCGCGGACGCTCCGCGAACACGTTGCATTGGTTTTTGACAGGGACGGCGGTCTGCGGTCTAGGGGTGCAGCCTAGTGGTGCAATCCTTGTGGTGCAATCTATGTGGCACAAAACAATAAAACAAAGCAATGCAACGCAATGTAAAACAGCGCAAGCCGATGCAAGCCAATGCAAAGCAATGCAACGCAAACCAAAACAATGCAAAGCAATATAAGTCAACGCAACGCACAGCAACGCAAAGTAATACAACAAAAGCAAAGCAGTACAAAACAATGTAAAGGAAAACAAAGCAATGCGAAACAATTGCAAATAATGCGAAGCATAATGAAAGAATGTAAAGCCATGAGAAACAGTGGAAACGAACCCAACGCAATGCGAAATAATGGAAAATGCAAAGCAATGCAAAGCAATGCGAAACACTGAAAAGCAATGCAAACCAACGCAAAACAATGCCAAGCAATGCAAAGCAACGGAAAGCAGAGTAATGCAATGCAAACCAGTGCAAAGCAACGCAAGTCAACGCAAAGCAACGCAAAGCAACGCAAACAATGAAAAGCCACGAAAAGCAACGCAAAGCAATGCAAATCAATGCAAAGCAATGCGATGCGAAGAAATGCAACACAATGAAAAGCAATGCCAAACAATGCAAAGCAATGCAAGGCAATGCAAGGCAGCGCAAAGCAACACAAAGCAATGCGAAGCATTACGAAGCAACGCAATGCAACACAGAGCAACTCAACGAAATGCAAACCAATACAAAACAAGCAATGCACATCAACGAAAAGCAAGGCAAGGCAATGAACAATGCAAAGCAAGCCAAAGCATTGCTAAACAATGCGAGGATACGCAAAGCCATGCGAAACCAGATGAAGCTGGCTAATCAAAAAAAAAACACTGGGCGTTTCCTTCCGGTTTGTACTTCGGGCTTTTGACAAGCTGAAAACGCTGAAAGTCCACTATTTTGCTTTTTCGTTTTCACAGACAAGGAAAACACGTTGTCAGGCCTGCCGCTGTGCATCGTCCTTCCCGACCATCGTGCGTCATTGGATCATCGTCATCATCGTCATCATCGTCATCATCGTCATCAGCATCGCCATCATCATAATCTTCGTTGTCATCGGCACCGTTATCATCAACGCCATCATCATCCTTCGGTCCTCGGCCACCAATTTCAGTACACCCCTCGCACGCTTCGTTGCCCCATCGGAAACTCTACACCACGCCCCAACGGCAGGGTCAGCACGTGGGCGCCACTCACTGTTCGGCAAACCCCTCACAAATTTCGCGGCACCGTATCGAGCTCCTTCGGAGGCCCCAATGGCAAGGTCCGCACGCGGGCGTCACCGCCGTGACGGCGCGGACCCCACCAAAGGCCCAAATGGCAGGGCTCGCATGTGGGCGCCACCCCCGCTTCGGCACACCCCTCACACGTTTCGCGGCCACAGGAAGTTCCGCCTGAAACCCCAGGGGCGCCACCCATGTTTTGGCACACGCACACACACACACACACACCTCACACGTTGCGCTGCGCCACACAGAACACCTGAGGCCCCAATGGCATGGCCCGCAGAAGGGCGGAACGCTCGTTTCGGCTGAGCCTTCACACGTTTCATGGCCCGACGGGGAACCCCGTCTGGGGCCCAGCGGCAGGGCCCGCATGTGGGCGCCACGCCAGTCTCGGCACACCCCTCAGACGCTCCGTGGCCCCATAACAGGGCCCGCACGCAGGCGCCACCTCCGTTTCGGCACACCGTTCACACGCTTCGTGGCTCCGCAAGGAGCCCCACCTGAAGCCCTAACGGCAGGGTCCGCGCGCGGGCGCCACCCCCGCTTCAGCGCACCCAGCAGAGCCCCTCCCGGTAGCAGTCTTTAGACAAAGCTGAATTGATTGCCGAAGTTGCGGAGAGTTCTTGCGCGTCGCCCCGCACGGCCAGGTCCAGGTCGTCCTGGCTGGCAGCCCGAGGACCGCGATAATGCTGAACAGTGTAAATACAGCGCGCGAGTGGGCCTTCTTCGCTGCCGAGGAGAAGCACATCGACTGTATCGCCATGGCCTGCGCCGCCCGCGCGCCGGGCCCGCTCGGGCGTCGCTGGGACAGGGCGATGCACTTCTGCAACGACGACCCCGACTGACTCCGACTGAATCCGACGACGAGGACGACGCGCTCGACGTTGCCGGCGCGCCCGGCACGGCCGCGGAGAACGGACAAAACGCGCCGCCCGACGCGGCCGAAGGCGCAGCCGCGGCCGATGCATTCGAGGAACTCCGCGGCCTGGCCCGCCCGAAGCAGGCCGGCTGAGACCGCGATGCAGACAGCCGCGGATCATCGCCAGGCGCCGGCAGGATGTGTGAGCGAGCTCGGGCGTTTGATTCGGCCCGCCAACGTCGCGCTCACCATGGCGCCGGAACCTGCTTCGCCGACGGCGGACTTGCCGAGCTTCGTCGGGGATGGTCTCGATCCGGCGCCGCGCGCGGCGGACGCCAAGACGGGGGGCGTCGTCTCGCCCCGCTGCCCGCGCAATCTTCGCAACGCATCCGCCGCGCAGCTGCGCTTGCTCTCCTTCAACCCAGCGGCGGTGGGCCGCCACGATGAAGTGGATATACGGAGAATGCCCCATCGGATTCGAAAGCGCGCGGGCCGCGGTTTTCCCGGGCTCGCCCACCGCGACTCTCGGCTCGCTCGCGCCAATTGAGGAGCGCGCCGGCGTCGCGGCGGCGGAGTTATAGGCTGCTGAGAGCGGCCGCGCTTGGGACGACCAGAACTCCTTCGAGGCGACCAGCGCGCGCCGGGGGGGCCCCGCGCCGCGCTCTGCCCAGCGCCCGGCTCGCCCGTCGCCGCTCTGCCAGGCGGGCGGCGCCGTGCCCGCCGTCGCCCAGCCAGCTCCACACGCCCGCGCGCGCCGCTGGGCTCCGTTCGGGTCGGCGGGCGCGGGCCGCGGGGGCCCCGCGCCGCGCCCCGCCCGCGGCCGCAGACATCGGGGCGCAAGGACACGTGGGGCGGGGGAGAGAAGGGAAGGAGGCGGGCGCGAAACAGCGGCGCCCAGGGCCCGGGCCACCACGGGCCAGGCGGGCGTGGACAAAGGGGGGAAAAACACTGAGGAAGCACATCGACATGGAAAATGGCGGCGCCCACGGCCTGGGCCGCCGCGGGCCGGCCAGACGGGGATTCGACGCGCGGCAGAGACGAGGAGAGGGGGGGACAGAGCCGGGGAGAATATCGACGCGCAACTGCGGCGCACTGGGCTCGCGCCCAACGAAACGTCCACCCATGGCGGCCACGCCCGCTCCCCGCCCGCGTCGCAATTCTCTCGCCAGCCCCCCCCCCTCGCCCGCCCCGCGATGCGCGAGGCTGCTTTCGGCCAGGTCTTTCGCCGGGGCGCGCGCGCAGCGCCATTGGTTCTCGCCTCGGCGGCTGCCCCCCGCCGCCCCCGCCGCCCTCGCCCCCGCCCCCGCGCCCCCGGACTGGCGACGCAAACGACAAGAATAGAACAAACCGACAAAAATGCGCCCCAGAGAACAACAGAAACGCAAATCATCCGCCGACCCCTCGCGGGACCCCAGGCGCGCGAGATCGCCCCCCCCCCCGCTCCCCCCGCCGGGGGCCCCGATGGGGGGGCCGAGACGACTGCTCAGACTACTGGATGAAGCCCCCAGAATCCAAAGAAAGGGAAAAGGAGGAGGGGGCGGACGAGGATGAGAGGGGGAGGCAGGAGGGGAGGTTCGGGGACTCCTTGGTTAACCCTGAGAAGATGTTTGCCAGCGTGTGGACCCCAAGCAATAATGTGCTGCACTGTGGATGTGCAAGCTGTGTCGTGCAAGCATGATAGCGACAGATACGGCAACGAGGCAGCACCCCCCCGGCAACTGCCGAAACCGCGGCACCTACACCTGGCGCACGAGGCGGCAACGAGGCGGCACCAACTGGGCACCAGCCGAAACCCCGACACATCCTGCCAGCGCACGAGGCGGCAAAACTGCTGCAACAAGGCGGCACCAACTGGGCACCAGCCGAAACCCCGAGACATCCACCCAGCGCACGAGGCGGCACCGAGGCGGCACCAACTGGACATCAGCCGACACCGACACCCCGACGCAGCCACCAAGCGCACGAGGCGGTAACCAGGCAGCAACGAGGTGGCACCAACCGAGCACCAACCAAAATCCCAACACACCCACCCAGCGCACGAGGCGGCAACGAGGCGGCAACAACTGGGCACAAGCCGAAACCCTGACAAACCCAACCAATTCCGTGGTAACACGAATACGAACCCGCAAAGGCAAACACTGTTTGGGTAAAAGATCTCACCGCCCACGCCGCTGCCGGCGCGAACCGGGTGTCACACCAAGGCCCAGGTCTGGCCTCGGCGTTTCCTCCAGCGCTGAGCGCTGAAGCTCAGAAAAAACGAACGACTTGAAACACCGCGCCGTGGCTGTCACGGAATCGATGCGCACTCTCTCCGAGAATTATACCAGCTCCTCATTTCAAACTGGCACTGCGATTCAAAGGACGGGGGAGGAGGCAGGGAAGGAAAAAGGGGAGAGGCTGAAGGAACGATGGGCGTGCTGCTCATGTATACTGTGCTGTGATATGGTGATATGCCGTGCTACGATACTACGCTACGCTACGCAATGGTATGCCATGATATGCTGTGTGGTGCTACGTTTGTTGTGATGTTTTGTACTTCACTATGACAGGCTCTGCACTCTACAATGCTGTGAGATGCTGCGCGGTGCATAACAAATTCAACGCATCACGCTGAGCACACACGGCTTCAGACACAACAAATACCGTAATCTGGGTCCCGCCGGGTGCTTATAGAACATGCGCTTGCACTGCCGCCTGGAGCTGTCAAGCGCAGCAGCGGTCCAGGAGGCGCCCCAAAACGGCCCAAGGCCCCTCCCCAATGGCCCCGAAACGGGCCGACACCCACACAAAAAAAAGCCCCAAGACAGCCCAAGACGGGCCCAACACCCTCCAAGAGAGCCCCAATATAGCACCAGGACTCCCCTAACGAGCCCCATCAGCCCCATTACATCTCCAGACGGCTTTCATGCCCCGAAAATGCTCACCAAGAGGCATTACAACAGCCATGCGGCGCCAAGGCAGTGCCACAACACGGCATTGATCCGCAGCTCCCCAAGCGCGGTGGCAGATATGCGCATCAGCGCAACTGGATAGCCAAGCCACCTGTGTGTTGCTCACGCCGTACTCAAGCATCACCGAGGCCTTGATGTATGGCATCATCCCACCGCCCACAGAAGGAATCAGGTTGATCAGCAGGCAGGCAGAAGCGAGCGCCCAGTGGATGCGGCGGGGGCCAAGATTCTCGATGACATTCTCGAAGCTATCTTGGAGCTTCCGCTCACCATCGGGGTCATACGAGATCGCAGTTCGGTTCTTCAGGATCGACGGGTCGTCTACACCCGCTGCATTCTCACTGCGCATCGCACGATATGGACTACTGATACATTTGGGCGTGCAGAGATCCCATTGAGCCCAAATGGCTGCCCATTGAGCCCAAATGGCTGCGCGAACGCCAGAGCACGGCGGGGGGGAGGCGAGGCACCGTGGCGAGTCCCGCCGGGCACGCTGCTGCAGGAGCTGCATCTCTGGGATCAGCGAGTGCGAAGCGCTTCGAGCTGAGAAGAGAACGAGTCCATCCATCCGTGTCCCCACGTTGCCATCCGCCCTCCGCCCTTCTCCCGCTCGGCTCGGTGTCATGGCATGGTGCAAGCGGTCTGAGCGCTTCGCGAGGTCCGCCAACATTCGGAGAAAGTCCTCAGGTGAAAACCATGACTTCCCAGAGAGCACTTGCATTTCGGATGTAAACTTGCATTCTTACGTGTTCAGCCTGGTCACCGCGGGTGGGCGTCTCTTGGGCGCCCCGTGCGCTGACTTGCGATTCTCGCTCATTCTTTTCCCGCAACTCCCCACAGCTCACCCAGAGGTATGCGGTCTCAAGAGATGCCGCCAGACACCGCCAGATGGCCTCAAGGCGGCGCCAAACGGCCCAAAGCGGCCCCAAGACGGTCCAAGATTGCCTCAAGACGGACCAAGAAGCCCCCAATGCGTCCCCAGAGAGCTCTAAGATGCCCTCCAGGAAGGTTCCCACGAACCCGAAATGATTGACGTTACGTTTTTTGTTGAAGGATTTGGGCGTTCTCGTCGCTTCGGGCTTCTGACGGTCATAAGGGCCTCCATGAGGGCCTTCAGACAGCCGAAGAGGAACCCAAATGGTCCAAGAGGTTTCCAAAGAGGCCCCGTCGCAGCCAAGAGACCTTGAAGACCGAAAGCGTCAGACGGGCCAAGAGCGCCCTTGGACGGCTGGAGGGCCCCAAGAGGCCACAAAGAAGCCCCGAAGAGGCCACCAATATGCCCCAGGAAGCACCCAACAGGGCCCCAAAAGGCAACCCAAAAGCCTCCCGAGGCCTCCTGATCCCCCTCCTCGTCAAACGTCCTAGTGGTTTTTCGTATTGTTCTGCCTCCTCCTCCTCCTCCTCCTCCTCCTCCTCCTCCTCCTCCTCCCCCTCCCCCTCGGCCAGTATCAGTGCAGAAGGTTCAGTGGTGTCTGGACGCGGTGCTTGTCAAACAACAAATGATCCTCCTCCTCCTCCTTTTCCTCCTCCTCCTCCCTTTTTCTCCCTCCTCCTCCTCCTGCACCTGACGGCCCCACGACATGCCAAAATGCAACAGTTGCGGTTTAGCTCCCCACAGAGAAGACCACAGTGGCTCCCGCTGTGGGCTCAGTAAGAAGGAGGCGAGGAGAGGGACGAGGACGGGGAAGGGGGAGGAGGAAAAGACTGAGGTTTGGGAAAGACCGGGGGAGGACGTGGAAGAAGAAGAAGAGGAAAAGCCATGGCGTGGACCTCGGAGCGCTAGCTTTTCCAGGGCACGGCCGCCGACATCGCGTGTTTCGGGTCGCACCGCGCAACCTGGATCTCCCTCAACCCATCCTTCCCTCACTCCATCCCTCAATCCCTCATCCATCCCTCTCCCCCTCCGTCCCTCATCCCCTCTGCATCCTCCTCCTTCTGCATATCCTCTTCTTCATCTTCGCCATTACTCCCCCATTCCCTCTGTGATTCTTCCTCTTCGTCCAATTATTACCCTTTTTCTCGTCCTCACTTTCCTCATTCGCCCACACATCCCCCGTCGCCTCCTCTCCTCTACTCACAGTATATCTCGTCCCCACCTTTCTTTCCCCTCATCCTGTTCTTCCCTCCATCATCGCCCATCCTCGTGCGCACCCCTTCATAAACGTCATTTGTTTTCCACATATTATTCCATCCCGCCAGCCCTTCCTGCCAGACTCCCTAACACCGTCCTCCCTCCTTTCCTCAAATGATAGATCGTCCCTGGTTCCTCTTCCTCCTTCTCCTCCTCGTTATCCTACTCCTCGTTGTATTATTTTTCGTTATCGTCCTCCTCCTCCTCCTCATCATCCCTCATCCTCCACCTCCTGCTGATCCTCCTCCACCTCCTCATCATCATCATCATAATCATCATATCATCATCAGGACCAACAGCATCTTAATCACCGTCACCACCGTCACCATCACGATCATCAGCACCAGCAGCCACATCGTCATCCGCATCGTCATCGTAGTCATCAGCAACATCATCTTCATGACCACCATCATCACCACCAAGAGCGTCTTCAGCATAATCGTCACTATCAAAATCATCACCAGACGATGCAGCCGTATCAGCATCCCCCTCCTCAGCATCAGACTAGTTATCATCATCATCATCATGATCATCTGCATAATCATCATCGCACCACCATCATCAGCAGCAGCATCAGCATCGTCATCATCATCATCAGCACCAACAACACCAACATGAACACCATCATGTTCACCACCATCATCATCAGCATCATCCTCAACAGCAACACCGCACGTAACATAACCAACATCATCACCATCAGCAGCAATCAGCATCATCATCATCATCAAAAGCAGCATCATCGTCATCATCATCAGCCACGCCATCCTGACTATCTTCATCACAATCATCCGAATCATGGGTATCACATTCACCAATAGCATTACCTTGACCACCCACATGATCATGATCATGATCACCGTCATCATCAACATAATCATCATCGGCATCGTCGAACTCATCAGCAGCACCATCCACATCATTACCATCAGCAACAGCAACACCATCATCATCATTATGGTCATCATCGTCAACATCGTCATCGTCATAACCCTCACCATCACCATCACCATCACCATCACCATCACCTTCACCATCATCAGCAGCACCAGCATGAGATCCAGCATCAACATCGTTATCACCAGCACCGTCACAACCACCATCACCATCACCATGCCAATCACCATCACCATAACTATCATCAGCAGCAGCATCATCAGCATCGACATCCTAAGCATCATTTTTTCATCATCATCAGCAGCATCATCAGCACCACCATGAGCAGCACCATCAGCATTCACACTAGCAGCACCACCATCAGCAGCAGCATCCGCATAAGCATCAGCATCAGCTTTCTGACTGGATATTGATAACCCCTGCATTCTGTTCCACTGTAGTCTCGATTATCCCTGAAGGTAGCTCCCGCGAGGTCAGCTCAGGAGGCGCCGCCGAAGCCATGGCAAGGAAGGAGTGTTCCGTGAAGCGGACTAACGAGCATCGCATCGGACAATGGAAAGATATTTGTTTTGCTGCCACGCCCTGCGCATGCAAAGCCGTCTGCTCGTCTTCGCCACCGCTCGATTCCGAGCGTTCGGTGAGCCACCGCGCAGCTGCAACTTCACCTCGAGACTGGGCCGCGGCATAGCCGAAAGCGGCCACGCCCTTCCACCCTCCCGACCTGGAGAGGGCTGACAGACCTTCTGCTTGAGAAGCGTCATTGGCGAAACCCCGCTGGAACGCACAGGCGCCCCAGTGCTCACTCCGGGGCCAACTTAAAGAAGCAGCACCTGTTGTCAAGAATCCAAGAGCTCCTGCACATGCGATGCGCGCGAACGGCAAAAGTTTGTCCTGCACAGCTTCGCGTCTCCCCGCATAAACGCTTGCAAGCGACCTCCACCGGTGCACTGTAGCATTTTCTGCGGGCGAACGTGATGATTATCTCTTTGCATTCGGCACTGAAACGGAAAAGCGCCGCAGGCAACCCCAAGGAAAGCGTCTCGGGCGCATGCCTCCAACAGAAGTGCCGAGCCACCACATATGACAGCGCCAAGTCACGACGATTGGCGCTCGTATCCCACTGTGCCAAATCCCGCGCTTGCGTTCTGGATGCCCATATACGCGGGCGCGCCCTACTGGCCCCAGCCTTCTCGGCGCCCCCCACCAGCCGCGTCGCGTCGCTCAACTCCCCAGCAGGAACACGCAAAAGGGCCAAGACAGACCGGATATGAAAAGGAAAAAAAGCACTGCTTCGGGTGAAAGCACAGAAAGCAGACGCGGAGGAGCGCGTAGGCGGCCATGGCGGTTGGCGCGCCAGGGCCGCAGTCTGACCCCAGAGATGAACCGCTCTCGCATATTGCGACGCGCCGCGCTTCCAACCAGAGAATTCCAGCCACGTCGCTTGCAACCCGAACGATTCCACACTTGCATCGACCAGCCTGGCTCTTCCTGCAACAGCCTGCGGGCCCAGCTCGAGCACTCCGAAGGGTTGGCCAGGCAATTTGGCCATGCCCCGAAGAGCGTTGGCGAGCACGTCCGGCGCCGGAGCCACTCGTTGCCGTCTGGCCTGCGCGACAAGCGCAAGTGCGCCCACGCCTCGGCCCCCGCGCTGCGCCACAGGCTGCGCCGCACAAGGGCTGGCTGCTTGAGCGGGGAAGGCCGTCTGAGCCGCCGCAGCGACATGGGCATCCTCGGGCCTGCCGCTGACGGGCGACGGCGCTGCCTGCGCCTGCCCACGCTGTGCAAGAGACGAGTAATTGTCGCATAAACGCAATGATCTGGAAAGGAATGCAGGCGTACATGTCGCCAGCGGCTTCCAAATTATCCGGGCGCTGTCTGGGTCCAATCCTGAAAAACCCAAGGGGGGTTCTCTGCGCCAGCATGAACCAATTCGGAACGCAACTTCTCCAATCCATCCCCGGGGGCACGCGTGTCCGCGGCCTGTCGGATTTAATCCGGCAGAGCACCAGAGAGGCCCAGCCGCGGCGCGGCGTTGGCCTGGCCGGCACCAGGCACATCATCGGCAGCGTTGCTGGCTGCTGCTATGGCTTGAGCACGGCTTTTGTCAATGAGCTGCAGCATTTGGGCCCTACAGCCACGGAGGCATGCAGCAGGCAGACAGGCGCGAACAGGGCTGCCAACGCCAAAGCCGATGACTGACGATGCGAACGATGCATTTTCCAATAGCAGGCCGGCAAGGCAGTTACTGAGGCCACGGTGCATCTGATGGCATGCACAACGGCACGCTGGTAAAACCTGCTCGCTGCATCGCCTCCAGCGTTGCATATTCGTTCGGTCTTGTTGGCGCGTCTGTCAGATTCAACTGGCTTGGCACGTAAAAACTGGACAGCAGCGTGCCTGTCCTGGCTACGCGGAGCCAGAGGTCACCTATCAGTGCATTCCAGTCTGCTTGCCTAGATGTCGCACCTGTCGTGTCCGAATCTGCGCTTCCACGATGAATCACCCTCCCCGGGAATCCGAGCGCCATGACACAAAGA